ATTTAGTTATTTGTTGAAAACTTGTTTATTTTTATAACTAAACGATCGGGAATCGAGGCCGATTCCGAAACTGTTTTCTCACTTTCATCAATAAATCTAGTTTGTGCATTGTGGGTTTTTCTTCCTTATTACCTGTTGTCCGTATAGGTAAATAGCCAATGTGGGTAAATTCCCTGTATAATTTTATGGATTAGAATGCATGTGTCATAGTTGTATTTCTGTTGCACTTTTAGCCATTTTAGTGTGTTGATATGTGGTGTGATGTGGTCATATTTATTTATATTTCCTAGTGCTACTCTTGCTGCAAAGTTCTGTAGTTTCTGTGTCCTTTATATTTGTGTTTTATTTGTGGAGCCCCAGATGTTTAGGTAGTAATTGAGTATACTAAGTGCTAGTGTTTGTATAACAATAATTCTTGTTTCTGTGGGTATTTTATTTTTGATGTGATTTAAGTATATCAGAGTGCCCATTACTTTCCTGTAGATGTGATCAATGTGTGTCTCAAATGTCATATATCTGTCTATGTAAACTCCTAGATTTTTTACTGTTGTGCTGGGTTTGATGTAGCAGCCCTGGAATTCTATCATTGTATCTGTGGGTATTTTTGCAATGTTCTGACGGCTGCCTATGAAAATACATTGTGTTTTCTGTGGATTTAGCTTCAGACCATTTATTTCAAAGTATTGTTTTGCTTCTGTTAGGGTTTGTTTAGCTTTCCCTATTAACTCATTTAAATTGTTAACAGAGGCAGCGTGGAGAAATTGAGTCATCAGCGTACTGAATAAGAAGACAGTCTTTTGCAACTGATGACAGATCATTGATGAAAATAGTGAATAAGATTGGGCCTAGGATGGAGCCTTGTGGAACACCGAACGAAACTTGTTTCTTTGATGATACTTTTTCATGAATTTTGACTGATTGAGTTCTCGCGGACAAGTAATCTTTAAACCAAAAGTTATCAATTCCGTGATTTGTAAGTTTGTTGAGAATGATTTCGTGGCTGACGCTGTCAAAGGCCTTAGATAAGTCACACAAAGTGAGCAGATTTATCTGGTTGTTGTCTATGTTGTTATAAATTTCGTTTGTGATTTTTAGTAACGCTGTTTCGGTTGATAATTTACTTCTAAACCCGTGTTGCGTGTTTGATATAAGGTTGTTCTCTTCCAAAAATGCTGTTAATTGGTTCGCGACTATTTTCTCGAGTACTTTAGATATTACCGGCAGTATTGTGATGGGTTGATTATTATTTATTTCGTCTGTATCACCGGATTTGTAAATAGGTGTGATGATACCATGTTTCCAAAGTGATGGGTAGGCACCGGTGACTATGGATGTATTAATGATGACTGTCAGATAGTATGCAATTGCTGGTAGACTATCATTTATGAAACGCTGTGCAATGCCATCAGCTCCTACGGAATTTGTTTTTCTTAACTGTTTTACTGTTACTATAATTGTTTCAACTCCTATTGGTTGCGGTCTGAAAAAGTTTGTTTTAGGCCTTGTTTCATTTATGTTGCGTAGATGTGTGGAGGCGGTTGTCTGTTCGTAAGTGAGCCTACCGACTTCTGCAAAGAAGTTATTAAAGTGTTCTATATCATTTATGGAATTTGTGGAAGTGTCTGTGTTTTGTTTCTTATTTAGCACTAGTGTCAACCAGTTTCCATGTTTCGGCAGAATCGTTTCTGCATTCATTGATCTTACTTTTGAAATAATTTGTTTTCGCACTATGAATAAGTGTTTTCACATTCCTTTTCTTGTGTTTATATTCAGCCTGAAGGGTGGTGTCAGATCTGTTTATCTTGAGAGCTTTCTGAGTATTATTTCTATCATTTATGGCTCTCTGATGTTGTCCATCTATCCAGGGGCGGGAGGACGTTTTACTGTTTTAGTTTTAATGGGTGCGGAGGCGTTTATGCTATTCTTTATCACTTCTATTAAAGTGGCAATTTGTCTGTCAACATTATCTGTTGCTAAAATATCTAATAGCGATGATTCGTTAGCTATATGTTCGCAGAGTAATTTAGGATCGTAATGGGTTAGATCACGAGAAGTTTTGGTGACTGGTTGTCGCTTTGGTTTTTCTATATTTAAGATCAAGGTTAAAAGCTCGTGATCTGCAATTGGGCATGGGATAACATCTGTGTGAAGAATAATATCGGGACTGTTTGTTATTATGACATCTAATATAGAAGAGGTAGTTACTGTAATCCTTGTAGGCTTGTTTGCAAGTTGTTTTAATTTATTTTGATTAATTATATCCGTTAGTTTTTGGCATTTGATTTGTTTAGATCGTCATTTAAGTCACCTAGGATGAATAGGGGTTTTCTTTTTAATGACATTTCTCTGAAAATATTTTCAAGATATTCAAAAGATTCTGCTGTAGCATGTGGGTGTCTATAGATTGTGCCGACGAGGATGGAAGGATGCATATTACTTTGTACGGTTACCCAGATGTCCTCTAACTAGCTGTAGTCATTACAGCTGTAGAGGAGATCTT